ATGTGTTCTGAAAATGAAAAACTATAGCTAAAGTAGGTGTAAGAACGAGAGCATGAGAAAAAAAAAGAAGCACACTTTTATCCATTAGCTGCATATCAAAAACAAGTGGAAGCAGACAAAATTCTCCAAGTCAGTTCTTCATTAGGCATTTAATCTAAGCACCGCAACATTTTATTTATCAAAAATTTTTTATTCATTTAAAACGGTTTGTTCATTCAAAAAAAAAAAATTTTTAAAAACTTACTCATTTTCTTGACAGGGTAGTAGTACCTGAGGTACAAGTATTGTGTGCTCCGCAACCTAAATTAAAATCAGCTTCACTTGGCAATGAACAAATGTTGCTCGCACATCAAATTTTTTTAAAAGCCATGTGAAATAAGTGAAGAGCCCTCGATATTAGTAAGCTGAGATCATAGAAAATTGAATCAGAAGGTGGCCCATGCACAGATTGAAACATGTGTCCTGAGGCAAAAAACTGGAGCAAAAAGGAATTATGCGCTCGATAGTTACCTTACAGCTGTCAATGCCAGATAATAGCTCATGCAACTTGTATTCGTCAAAACGCTTCTGCAGGTAAATAACTTCGCCTTTCCGCCGAGGACGGATAAGAAACAAGTCAAACTGAATGGGTTCCGGTTTGCTGTCATCTACAGCCCGCAGTGGCACGCACCAGCACTGTAAATTTACGAACGCTAAAAAATATTAGAAATTCATGTTTTAATGAAAAGTCAGATACGAAACGTTGCCCGTGGGAAAAAAAAAAGATTAATTTTGAGCATTTCAGAATCACGCCATGACCGTGCAACTGAACGACAAGTTAAAGTATTGGCATAATGCAAAATCACTGGCACAGTGAACTTCGAACTGTGCCAACAGCAGATGTGCTTGGTCACGATGGCTTTTTAGGAACTCGGGAACCAGAAGAACTAGAAAGCTGAAACACTGCAGTAATGCTCCTCGTCCACATAGAAACAAAGATTTAAATTCAGCCTCCAGGCTTACGAGGTTCTCGCATACGGCCCCGTGAAGGTTCCTGGCTAGAAAATCGCTAACTCGAGATTCAGGAAAGCTGGGAGGCTGATATTTTCAGGGAGTGTTCCCAGCACATGTACAACATATCGAATTCAGCCCCTCGGTGTGCGTGATTTTCAAGTATGACCCCGTGGGAATTTTCGGCGGGAAAATGGCTAACTCGGGAACTGGGGAAGCTGGAAAACTGAAATTTTAATGGAATGTTCCCTGTCCACGTACCGTGTAATAATTAGCTTCCCGAGCTTCGAGACCGGTATTTCACACATTCTAGCTACAGGGTTTCCGAGTGACTTCATTAAAGCAAAAAATACTGCAAAAACACATGATCGCACGGATCCGCCCAGCGCGTATGGCCAATGATTTTTGTTAGTGGCTGCTTTTTTACGAAACAGCACAATCCCGGCTGATTTCCACATCATTTACATATTTTGTTAATTTGTAATTAAAGTGGAAAATTAAGGTGTTGTTTCCAAAAACACCTAAATTCTCAGCAATGTCTTATGACACAGCTCGGTCATTCACCTCGTACTCAACATTGTTGTAAAATCTTAATGGAGCTCGGATCAGGATATACAGCTGTTCCCGTTTCATTCCATAGTGCGCTTCGAAAGGTTGTATACTGTACTCGTAAACCTAAAAATCTACAAAACTTTAGCTCTGTTCACTATCTCCTTCGTTTAAATGTTGAATTTTTACAACAGAGAGCCTCTTACGCGCCATTCAAAATTTTTTTTTTTTAATAAGCAGACAAAACAAATCAAAGCGATGAAAAAAGAAATATAAAGAACAAAAATAAATGGGAAGTGTTGGAAGGTTCTTTTGCAGGACATATTGTTTAAGAATTGGAACGGTAACCAGTTACCTTCTCCTGAGAATGTTTCGCATATTCAGTTTTAAGCTTAAAAATTAAAAAATTGATAGTGTTTTTTCTGACAACAGTTGTTTGCTTTTATTGGAAATTTCTTTGTTGTTTTCACCAATTCTTGATTACGGTGGGATAGCTTTTAGTTACTGAGCGTTTTCCTTAAAATTTTGT